CCAAGTTACAATGGTGCCGGCCCTCTGTGGTCTTCTTGGGACACTGCCTTTCCCATGGCACCAAACATTTAACCTCTCAACGTGTACAAGCCATTCTGCATCTTCCATTACCTGCAAATCACCAGGCTCTCCATGCTTTTGTGGGTCTTATCATGTACTGCAGGTCCTGGATACCTGAAGCATCAAAGCTCATGCAGCCACTCTATGATGCCCTCAGGAGTGAGCCCTTTCATCTCACAGAAGAAACTATTATCTGTTTCCACACTCTGAAAAGAGCTATTGCTTCTGCACCTGCCTTGGGCCTACCCAACTACCAACTTCCCTTCAACCTGTTTGTCTCCGAAAAATCAGGACATGCTTCCGGAGTCCTCACCCAGAAACATGGATCAAGACAACGCCCTATTGGCTATTTTTCCTGCATGCTTGATCCTGTTGCAAGGGGTAGCCCCTCTTGCCTCCGAGCGGTGTTTGCCGCCAGCGCTCTCCTGGACAAGACCAATGACTTTGTTCTTGGCCATCACCTCACAGTGTTGGCCCCTCACGACATTACTGCAATCCTGCAGCAAGTTCGACCTAAACACCTTTCTTCCCAACGTCACCTTCGCCTACAGACCTCCTTACTCCTACCTGATAATGTGAAACTCCAGAGATGCCTTTCCCTGAACCCAGCCACTCTTCTGCCACTTCCCAAGGGGGGAATTGTGCATCACTGGTACAGCCTGGATATCAACCCAGAGGTTCGAGCAGATTTACAGTTGCCTGTATTCACACCTCCACATGATGAACAACCAGAGGCCCTACTCCACTGTGTCTTGTGGTTTAGGGACGTACCAAGCCCTGATGTGGACTATGAGGAAGAACTATTTCAGCTGAAAGAAATTCAGATTACCCTGACTGACTTATTTTGGGACTCCACAGGTACCATGCTCATTTTGGTTCACCTTCCAGATAATGTAGCACACCTCTACCACCATTGGGAAACAGCTATCCCACACATATCTCTCACCAGATCCCACGACACCTCATGGGAGAACCTAGGCCCGATGGCCAAAACCTGGAACCAAATGACTCAAGAACAACTGACTTCTACGGGGATAAATAAAAAGACCATTAACTACTGCACAACAGGATACTCCAGGTACCACACAGAGGCCTGTGAGGACCCACCCACCATAGACTGCAACCTCATTGATATCCCTCATGACTGTTTTGAACAAATGAAAATGGAAACTACACACCTACCAACTGTTTATGAAGCTGCATTACTCAACCCGGATCAAACACTATTTGTGGATGGCTCAAGGTTTGCTGATGAACAAGGACAATACCACACTGGATATGCAGTCACCACAGGATGTCAAATATTACAAGCAGCTGCCCTACAACCAACTAAGTCTGCCCAAGAGGCCGAGTTAACAGCCTTGACTGTGGCCTGCAAACTGTCCGAAGGTCTACGTGTCAACATTTATACGGACTCAAGATATGCCCTGGGAGTGGCACACGATTTTGGCTTAATTTGGAAGACCAGAGGATTTCTTACAGCCACCGGTACCCCAGTAAAACATGGGGCAGCCATTGCAGAGCTGATGGACGCATTGGAACTCCCAGCAGAAGTGGCAGTATTGAAAGTAAAAGCTCATGGAAGATTAGACACAGAAGAAGCACGTGGCAACAGCTTAGCTGATCAGGCAGCCAAAGAGGCAGCACGACAAGGATGGGAAGTGGACAGAAGAGTGGCCACAGATACATTACCCATTTACACTATGCAAACATTGCCTACAGATCTCAGGCTGCTGAAGGAACAACAAGCTGCTGCCACTCCTCAGGAGAAACAAAGTTGGAAGAACAAAGGAGCAATACTCCGTGATGAAGTTTACACCATTAATCTCAAGTTCTGCCTACCTAGAAGTATGTACCCAGCGGTGGTCCAATGGGCCCATGGGCCAGCCCACCTGTCAAAGCTCCTGATGAACTCACTGATTGACAAGTATTTTGAAGCACCAGGCATCACTACCTTAACACAGAATTACTGCAAATCTTGTACTATATGTGCTAAATGCAATCCTGGAAAAGTCATAAAGACTGCACCTAATCATCTAGCCAAGCCACAATACCCCTTCCAGAGGATTCAGATTGACCACATTCAGATGCCAAAGAGCGGACGTTATGAATATGCATTGGTTATAGTGGACATGTTTTCAGGATGGCCAGAGGCCTTCCCAGTGACTAATCTCACCGCGAGGACTACAGCCAAGTACCTTTTGACAGAAATTGTTTGCCGCTACGGGGTTCCAGAAGTAATTGAAAGTGACCAAGGGACCTCCTTCACTGCCTCGCTAACACGGGAAGTCTGGTCAGCACTGGGGGTGACCCTTGCATTCCACACACCATATCACCCACAGAGTAGTGGTAAGGTAGAGCGCATGAATGGCACTCTGAAAGCCAGAATGCTTAAAATGTCACAAGAAACTAACATGCCCTGGCCCGAGAGTCTCCCACTAGCGTTATTCAGTGTAAGGTACACTCCCAGAGGAAAATACAGTTTGTCACCTTATGAGATTTTGTTTGGTACAGCACCCAGGTTAGGTTGCTATTTTCCCCAACAGCTTCAGATTCAGTCAGACGCTATGGTAGACTATGTGACTGCCCTCTCACATGCCTTGACCAAGATACATGCCCAAGTGTTTTCTTCTATTCCAGATCCTGAGTCGAATACAGGTACACACAAGCTGCTTCCGGGTGATTGGGTTATGGTTAAGAAGTTCCTCAGAAAACACACCCTAGAACCAAGATTTGATGGTCCTTATCAAGTGCTCCTGATTACAGCAACGTCAGTTAAACTAGCTGGGAAAAGTTCCTGGATACACGCTTCACATTGCAAAAAAGTGCCTGCTCCAGAAGAAGCTGATCCTGTTGAAACATGAATTTATTATGTGTCTTGTGTTTTCTTGTGTTGTTGCACTTTGCCTGGACCCAGCAAGTGGCCATAACCAAAGATAATCACGTTTACACTTTCTGGTACAACTCTTCTAATACTGATGTGGCCACATACACCTTTGATTACTGTGACATAGTTACTTGTACATTCCCGCAGACACAACATGCAGCCATATACAAAGACATACCTAACAAAAAGGACCCATACATTTGTGTGACTGGAGGAGCCTGGGGACACCATTGTAGTTCATGGAAAGCTGCCGGGTGGAATGCAGGCAGACCATGGGGCTACAGACCTCAGGTTGCACTAGACAGACTTGACAAAGACGGGAAGCCCCTACTTTCTAGAATGACTCTGAGTAAACCCACAGGGTCAACTCCCATTAAACTTACCCAAAATATAGAGCACCCTAGTCCAAGGGACGCGGGGGAATATGTGATGGGGATGTACTGGAAGGGAGGTGGCTCACATAATGCATTGGGGACGTTTTACCTACAAGACATGCTCACCTCCCCAGACTGGGTAGGGATCACTCACATGATCGTTAACCCATTAAAACCACATATTAAGACCCTACATGACATGGTAGCTATAGCCAACCCCACCTTTGAAGACACTATGGCAGTGGAGACTGGTTTTTCAGACACTAATTTGTGGCTAGAATGGATGAGGTACAATGCCAACTCACACAATAGAACTAATTGTTATGTGTGTGGAGGAGCCAGGCCCCATCTGGGCACAGTTCCTCTGAACTTACCTCCTGAAGTAGAATCATGTGTTCTGAGTCTCTACACACAGTCCATCACCAACTCCTCAACATGTGAATCATGGAAGAGAATTTACCCGATCACTCATGGACATGTAAAACCACCTGATGGAGTCACCATCTACCCAGGTAATTACACATGTTACACAATATCTAAGAACACCGGTTTGTATCTGGGCAAATTCCCATCAGGATACTGCTCAACTTACCATAATCCACCCATATCACTGCTAATGAATCACACAAAGACAATCGGTGATATCTACTGGTTATGTGGTGATAAACAATTGAGGTCCCAATTAACTGGGCAATGGTGGGGGGAGTGTGCCCTAACTAAAGTCATAATGCCTATCCATATCATTCCAGATGGTGACCATAACACGTTAAACCTCACACATGTACACTCTAGAACTAAACGAGAGACTCCTATCCGAGGGAGCTTCAACCCCCATGTGTATATTGATGCCATAGGTGTGCCAAGGGGGGTGCCTAACGAATTCAAGGCAAGAGATGAAGTGGCTGCAGGATTTGAATCCCTAATTCCAATGATAACTGCTAACAAAAATGTCAATTGGATTAACTACATTTACTATAATCAACAGCGCTTTGTCAACTACACTAGGGATGCCCTACAGGGCCTGGCAGAGCAACTGCAAGCCACCACCCAAATGACATTTCAGAACAGAATGGCCCTAGATATGATATTAGCTGAGAAAGGGGGTGTATGTAAAATCCTCCCTGAGACCATGACATGCTGCACATACATTCCAGACAACACTGGACCCAATGGTAAGGTGACTATGGCCATAGAAAAGCTAGATAGTCTTGCAGACGAGCTAAAGAAAAATTCAGGAGTCACTGACACTTGGGACAGATGGTTTGGATGGATGAATGGTTGGCAAAGGACCCTCTTCCAGGTGGGGACAGCTGTTCTCATAATGATCGTCATTTTCTTATTTTTGACCTGTTGCATATTCCCCTGCATACAGAACTACCTACAGAAAGCGGTAGACAAGACTATAGATGGCGTGACCCCTACTTTCATACACCAAGACATCACAGACCTCGAAGATGATACTCCACATACACCCCTTCAATCACATCAGTTCAAACAAACAACTGCTTTCCTGTAGGGACAGTATAGGGAAAGCGTCTGTCTTGGCAGGCGAGTCTCACGTGTGGAGATGTGGTGGACTAGCCACCGCAGGTTACCCACGGAGTGAAGTGTTCGATGCTTGTTAAGACAGATGAGCTGCAGGCAGCTAGGGACATATTAGGGACAGTAGCAGTTGTTATGGTAAATAGCCATTTTAGGGGGGACTGTTGTGGAAATAAGGTCTACACATATTTCCTAGTTAGTGAAAAATGCCTATTTACTCATTTCACGATATATATATATGTAGCTAAGTACACACGTTATAATCAAGATGGCTGCTGGAAGCTTCTAGCTCCTTCCCCCCTCCCCCTTCCTTTCTCCCTTCTAACATCGACTAACTACCTCGTGCACCAAAATGGCGCCGGGAAACCGTGGGAGACTCTCATGGCCCCGGTGACATCACCTACAGTAGGCAGAGCATTGAAGCAACCACTTAACACCTAACCAATTATTGATGTATTATTCCATGTTATCTCTGCCAATGCTTATGATGTAATTTTGCTTTAAAAGGGACTTGCCGTCCCCTCTGAATAAACTTTCCTCAAGTTATTCAACAACCTAGAACCTGTGTCTGGTGTGAATTACTTCAGGGAGCGTGCACGCATCGTTTCATTGATTTGGCCAGGGGCAGATACACAAAGAAATAATCAATACTTTAATTGATTTTTCCACTTCATATATATTGATATATATACATATATATATATATATATATATATATATATATCATTTTGTTCTAAGTGTATTTTGATATCAATGCACACATATATATATATATATATATATATATTTCAAAATACAGTTAGAACAAAATTACACATGTGTATATATAATTACCAGATTTTACTAATTACATGACGTAAAGTCATGATTTTATAAAGGACACGGAGGCTCCTATTAGGCTTATCTCTTTCTTTTATTCCTCAGCAGCAAAGAAAGCTAAGGTGTTTATTTGTAGAAAAAACATGCATAAATACCCTCACAGGGTTAACCTTACATCATTATCTCTTAACCAATAGGAACAGTCCACCTCTGATATCCTCTCATGTAACCTCCTCCTCTTCCTCTTTCTTGATGATGCCGAAGCGAACAAATCACCATTAACATGTATCAAAAAAAATTCGCTATAACCAAAAACACAAAAGGTTGACAACTGGATACTTGACGTTGAAGTTGAATCCGTCCACAAATAACGCGGGATCTTCCGGAACTGATCCTCTCAAACTGCGGGATTACTTCCCGTCATCAGTGGGTATCTTTTAGCTGTGCTTCAGGCTGGAAAGACAAAGAAAATAAATGGTAAAACGTGTCCTTGCCAACTATTTTCATCCTGCTATGGTATTAAAAGATGAGCTGTTTATGTAACCAGTCATATGTTAAACATGCAATCGTTACTTGTTTGATAGATTTACCATAGCGTAACACATACACCATATATCAATGATAACTCATTTTACTAAAGTCCCTATTACATACTTTGGGATACAAATGTTTTGTTGTATCTGCCCTGGGTGGGCTAATACTCGCCTCCGTGTCCTTTATAAAATCATGACTTTACGTCATGTAATTAGTAAAATCTGGTAATTTTATTAAAGGACACTGAGGCTCCTATTAGGCTAGTTTAAAGCTGTGCAATAACTATACTTGACACATGTTCTGTAGGTCGAAAGTAGTATTCCTTAAATGTCGATGCCCTAGACCAGTCTGCTGTTTTCATGATGTCTTCCAATTTACAACCTAAATTAAAAGCCTTTGAAGCCATGGCCCCTCTGGTAGAGTGTGCACCATATACAGTTGTATCTATGTGGGCTAAGGCCATTATCCATCTCACCCATCTGGCGAGAGTTACCGTGGATACGGGATGGTGGGGTTGTTTGATAGCTAAAAACAATTCCGGGTGCATCGGTTTTCTGAATTCCAGGGTCCGTGTCTCGTATTCCTTTAAGCAAATCACCGGGCAGAGTTTACGGTTATGCGGGAATGCTGGATATGAAACTGAGGTAATTGATGACTTTGTACGTCTAGAGATGTTGAATGAAACCCCCGTGGGAGTAAAGGATCTTGCATCAACGTCCAACGCTCTGACGTCTGACACTCTCTTACAAGAGATCAAGCAGAGGAGCATGACTAGTTTCGCTGACAGTTGTCTCAGTGTGAGTGTCTCATTGTGTGGCCAAGTTTCCAACAGTTGCAAAACTGAGTTGACGTCCCATAGAGACGTGTTTCGGGGTTGCGGTGGACGAGCAAACCGAATACCTCGAAGGAGACGGCATACCAACTGTTGCTGACCCGCTGGGGTCCCATCTATTCCCCGGTGTCCCGCTGAGATTGCAGACCTGTAAACGTTGATGGTGCGATAGGCCAAACCTTGATTGTATAGGTTGGTAAGGAAGCGCAACAGGTAATTTATAGGAGCACATATGGGATCCACCTGCTGTTCCATGCACCAACTACTCCATCCGTTCCAGGCATAGAGGTAGGAGCGTCTCGTTCCAGGTGCCCAAGCTCCTGCCAGTAATTCGATAGTTTCCTGTGGAACCTCTGGGACGCTCCATGGTCCCCTGAAAGCAACCATGCTAAAAGTTTGAATTGCCCCTGTACCAGCAGGGGGTGCGGTTTGCCCTCTGGATCTGCTAAAAGGTGTGAGACGTCTGGTAAGAGTCTCGGAAGGTCTATAGACATCTCCATGAGTGTGGGGAACCACGGCTGAGCTGTCCAAAACGGGGTTATGAGGGCCAATGACGTTTGAGTCCGCCTGAGGTGCACTAGTGTTCGAGCTATGAGGGAGAACGGAGGAA